GGGAGATGAAAGAACAAAAACAGCCAGAATCCAAAAAAAGAGTGTTTAATGTTCTTCGAGAAGACTGGAGAACTAATCCTAAAGGCCCCTTAAAAAATCGCAAATAATTACAAAAAATGATTGCTGAAGAATTCAGGCTGTGTTGAAGAAAAAAGGTGTAGAATTAAAGCTGGCCAGAACGGGTACTCTATACTGCCTTATATGCTGTATTTCTATTTATGGTTGCATGTGTTTCAACAAATCACTGCATCTATTTCCCATTTTGCTAGCAAAATCAAATGAAATCAAATGATGGTGGGTTGAGACTTTTGGACAGTGCCGTATTTCCAAATATAAATACAGCTGTGGAGGAAAATTCAAGTGTAGCTCAGAGTCTGGGAAATTCAACTTTTCATTTGTAAGAGGACGGCTATGCCATTTCCTCTTTTAAAAGTTACTACTGGAGTTGCTGCCAAGCTAAAGATTAACCTTGCCCTCCTGTTTCCAAGAAGACAGTAGTAGCACAAAGCAGCTAGTGTTAAATAATAAAGCAGGCACTTCTACTTAGGAGCATGTGGACGCATTTTAACTTAGTTAATCTAGGTTAGAAAAATGTGGGGGGTTTTCTTGTCAGCCTATCCATTAAACCTTTTCCCTCCTTTCTTTCTCAAGTCATATTTTCATGTTTGGGCATCTTTGACTTCTTTGTTTTTAATGTATCATCAATGCATAACACATGTATACATTTTCTGCTGTATAACAGATCATTACAAATGCCATGGAATTGGGGCCTGTCCAATTCAAATACAAAGGGAAATAAACCAGTGGTGTTGAGACAGACACGAGACTTTGCTCTGCTGATTTATTTCTGCTGCTGTTTGCTTCGGAAACGACAGCACTGACAGCACTTTGCCGAGCAAGTTCTGTAAGAGACGGGGGGAAAAAGAGCTCCTCAGCAGAGATGGGTTTTAAGTAGTTTTCATAAAAGCAGCTGGAGAAATGCATCATGGGTGCTCAGTGGGTTAAGAAGCAAATCGTGTATCTGCAATGTTAAATTCATAAAAAAATAATGGAGCTGGATTCAGGAATAAATCAGATCTCTAGAGTGCAGCTTTTACCCAGGCTGCTGCTGAAACACAAGGAAGGATGACAGTCTGACCTGTCCTAATTAAAGCATAAATAATGAAAGACTTGCATCTTTCATGCATTGTTTGAAATTAATAAATGTTTTAATTCAGAGGTAGACGCTTTGAGAACTTGAATTCCTTATTAAAGCAGCGAGTCGGTGACGCACAAATATTCAGAGGTAAATGTGGCAGCCCTTACAAGAGGACGCACTTGATCTTGGAGAAGTGTGCAGCCTGCACGCACTCGGCGCAGATGAACCAGACTTGAGCAAAAACTCACCCGCATAACCTCTCATAACCTCTTGCCTAACTCCATTTCACCCATGCACAGTTTTACAGCAGCAGCAGGCGTGATTAGACCAGGATGCATTTGGCTGAGCCCAGCTGTGGAGAGCCAGCCAGTGGATGAAGAATATCAGTCTCTCATCCCGCTAAATGAAAACTAAATGAAAGGCTCTCAGATGGTGTGAGAGTTGCGTAAGGAGGCACCGAGCGAGGTCCCGGGATAAGCTGATTACGTGGCAGACTCATATTCATTTCCACAGCCAATCCGAGTTGAGCGACAAGGCTTAGAGAGCCTCGCTCCCCGTTACTATTGCACCCACTCCACTCCTCTCCTCTCTTAATACATATCTTTTTCTATTTTGTTGTTGTTGTTGTATGTGGCGAGTGTTTATCTGTGTGTTTGTGTGTGTGTGCTGCAAATGATCCCACATGCTTCTCTGACCGCAGGCGTCAAAGGCAACTGCTAAATCTGCTTCAGATAGTTGTGGTTACAATGCCACTAACAAAATGTACACACACGGTTGCTCATACATGTTCATGCACTTACACACACACACACACCCAAAGCACTATACTTGAAACGGCTTAGCCGAATGTAAAGTAGACACTGAGGCTTAGCAGCTGTGAAGGTGAAAGTGACAGGACAGCTGGGGATGTTATCCAATTGTAAGCATTTGTCCTGTTTGTTATTTTGTGTGCGTTTGTGTGGTTAGTTCAACAGTAGCGGTGCTGTCAGGAGGTCAGAGCTGGCTTCAGAGGAGAAAAGGTGGCAGTTTAATAAAGTGTCGAAGCTCAGCGTGACTTAGCAATAGTTGTTTTTCACCACGTGATGAGTGAGGGGTTGATGAGAGAGGCGGCGAGCAGAAACGATCTTCAACAGGTGGCACGCTTCGTCTGCCTTTTTCTCTCAGTATATGTCTAAGCCCACGTGCCTCGCTATGTGTGTATGTGTAACACAGCGTCTGTTATTGTACAGCTAATCCTCCACAGAGGCCACAGCATATAAACAGAACAACTGTGCTCACCATGTGACATGCTCAGAGGACCAAGGAAACACCAGCGCTTCCTGGTTTACTTTTAAACGTTTGGGAAACAATGCCTCCATTTTGAACAGAAGAAGCAATTTGTCCTCTTCAGCAGCTGCTCTCATAACATTTTGCACGTGTACTGATCAGTATATAAAAGTGACTTTAATTCAATTCAGTTTTATTGTGTAATGCCAAATCACAACAGCTATCGCCTCAGGGCAGTTTACATTGTCAGGCAAAGACCCTACAATAACACAGATAAAAGGCCAACAATCAAATGATCCCATTTGAGCAAGCACTTGGCGATAGTGGGAAGGAAAAACTCCTTTTTAACAGGAAGAAACATCTGACTGAATCAGGCTCAGGGAGGGGCGGGTATCTGTGGCGACCAGTAGCCAGATCTCTGGCTCTCTGTGGAAGAGAGCCAGAGATTAAATTCCGTAGAATCCGTACATGCCTTACTTTTGTTAATTCCCTTAAATTAAAGCTAAAACTCTCCGCTTAGCTCACAGTTAACAAAAGTAGGGTCATTGACCACATACAGTATTTACAGACATTTGACCAGGTACGCCTTGCTAGAACTGGACTGGATTCCCTTTTACCTTCAGAATTACTTTAATTTTTCATTGCATTGATTCAACAATAAGCTGGAAATATTTTGTAATTTCTCAAATATTTATTCAGAAATTCTGGACCATATTGAGATGACAGCTGCAGTTTCTTCACCTGCACATCCATAATGACAATCTCCCGTTCCAGTATAATGGACTGAGATCAGCTGACTGTAGAGATTGTTTGTGTACAGTGAACTCACCATCATGTTCAAGAAAGAAGAAGTCGTACTTATACAGCACCTTTCTACACAGCACTCAAAGCACTTTCTACTACAAGTCTCAGTTGTCCAATCAAACACACACAGTCATATAGTGCTTTTATCTACACCTAAGCACTTTTTAAAAATGTATCATTTACAGACAAACTCCAATGACTGCATTACAGGCAACTCATGTTCACTATCTCGCCAAAGTATTTTGGCACAAGAAGTGGAGGAGCTGAGAATGGATCTACCAACCTTTTGATTGATAAATGATCCCATGTGCCACCTCAGCAACAATAATCTAGGTAGGTTTTAGCATTTAGAAGCAACTGAACTGGTACTACAGGGCCCAAAGTGGGCCAAGAAAATATCCTCCATGCACTATACCACCACTAGCATCCCAAATTTGACTCATATCTTCAGGTCTCTTGGTGAGCCTACGTGAAGTGTAGATTCAGTTTCCTGTGCTTAGCTGACAGGAGGGGGACCCGGTGTGGTCTTCTGCCGTTGCAGCCCATCTGCTTCAAGGTTCGATATGTTATGCTCTTCTGCATACTGTTACTGTTGCTTTCCCATCAGCTCAAAGCAGCCTGGCCATTCACCTTTGACCTTTGCCATCAACAGGCATTTTTGCACGTAGATACTCTAGTAAGGAGCAGTGCTATCATCCCTCAAATCGTCTCCAACACATGGTTGGTTTCATTTTAGTAGATGCATTTCCTCTTGCTCACAAGAACGTAGTTACGCTACAGCTGTAACCACAGTATATCCTGTTTAGTGAACGAACAAAGAAAACAGAGTAGATCAGAAAAGAAAAAGGGAAAGTTAATTAGGAAATGTCTGTCGCACAGATTAAGATTGTAAAAAAACAGAGTGTTAAAAACATTTTATCAGAGGGCAATAATAAACTTCTGGTTTATTGTAAAGGAAAATTTAGATGCATTCAAACTTGGGTCTTATTCAGCCTTTAGTTTGACATTAATGATATTAATGGCTGAGATCAGAGCATGTGTGATTACTACATGGCCAATATTTTGGCAGTTGTTTTGCATGATGGGCTTGGACTTTTTTCAGAATTGCATTTCATGTCATCTGCATACATTTTGCAAAGAAACCCCAAAAACCAAAACCAAAACAAAATAAAGCACAAATCAAAAAAGCACAGATCAAAAATGCTGAAGAACTGGTTGTTGTGACTATATTCTTAGTATGAAAAGCAGGTTGTGTAAAACTGTATTTTCCTCATCATATAGTGGTTGAATTATTCAGTCCGCCTTATTGTTATGATAATTGAAGCTCTCGCTGTCACTTTTCTGATGCCCTAAATTCAAATTCCTCCGCATCATCTCTACTTGTTGAATAAATATTTAGGCCCACTCTGATTACGGTGCAGAGAAAATACTTTTTCCTTCCCTTTTTCAAGGTGTTTTCACAGCAGCTGACATAGTGTATGTGTTTTCTATTTGTAACCTGCCATGGAGCTAGCTTATTATCAGAGGAGTGACCACAGTGTCACAGTAACTGCCCTTATCCCCACATTCACGTTCACCTTTCCGTCTATTACCATTGCCCTGGTCTTGTTCCATGCCATCTGTGTCCATAGCAACTGGACAGAATAGGTTACTTATTATAGGACAGGGGCTCAGCTGCCAGGTAGTTTACAATGAGATTTGTCATATCCTCTTCCAAACAGGTCAACAGCACATGAGGTACAGGAGGTCGGAGGTAAGAGCTGTCTGTTTCAGAGTGTGAAACCTTTTCCACTGTTCGAATTTAGGAATACATGAATTCCAATAAGAATCTTTTTATTGATTTTATTGATCTCATGATCTCAGTTTAATCAGAGCCTATTATTTCAACTATACTCTATTGTTCCAAAAATAAAGATATATAACTAGAAAGCGAAAATTTCTGAAGAAATTTTAAGTGTGCCTATGCCGCCGCTAATCAGTGTAGTTTGCCATTCAAACGGCTACAGAGAGCAAAACTCAGCAGAGCAGCCATTCTCCACCATGAACTATGGTAAAACCAAACACCGCTCGCGCCTCACAGATGACAGCTTACGGTTTTGTGTAAAGATGAGGTGACTTCGTACAGCCCCGATTTGTAGACGCTGTGCGCAGAGGTTCATAAGCAGACCCGACAATGTTTGCATGAACACGCTGTTGAAGCATTACGTTATGGACCACTTTTCACACATAGTTGCTGTACCCACACAGCCGGCTGTAGCTTTTCATCTCACAGCCCGACACATACAAAAAAAAAAAAAAGCAGAGAGAGCACAGACTTTACACCTGAGAGGCGTGATTGCAGATGCCGCTGAGGTGGGTCCACCTCCCCTGCAGCGGCACTGCAGACCACGCCCTGCCACACACATCAAACACGTAAAATAAATATTTATGCACTTTTCATTCACTTTTTGTTTTTTGTTATTTTTACACAGTGTTCTGAATGATTAACAATGGTCTACAGCCAATCTTGTGTATTATTATACAAACTTGGTTGTAAGATTCAGATAACTATTTAATAAAAGCTAAATATTTTATATGAGAGTAAGAAAGAAAAGTATATCTTTGTCTCATACTCTCATCAGACAATACATGAACCTCTCAATAAACAAAATATATGCTCGGCTTAAATGACAAACCGCTATTTTACACAGTGGAACACTTATTTTTAAACAAAACCAATGCAGTTCGCCACTGACAGTGCTTACCTTTGCACATCACAGTAAACACTGAACCAAGATGGCGCCCACGCGAACGAGAAATCTGAACTACGGTGTCCTGCAGAGGACAAATGGTCAAAATTGCTAAAATTTACAACATATATGCAGCTCAACAGCGACACCTTGTGACTTATTCCAGTCACTACCTTAAATATACATAACGTCTTACCTGACATTCAGTTCACCGGACACTCATACTGAATCACCAGCCCATATAAATGAGCCAACCAAGAGTCATCACGAAAGACTAGGGGTGACACGAGAGCGTGAGCGGGCCTGGGTGTCAGCCAGCCCAGCCTGGGTGTCAGCCAGCCTGACCTGGGTGGCAGCCAAGCCGCGCTCGCCAGCTAGCCGGCTAGCTGCCATGCGGCGGTGAAACGAGAGCGTGAGCCGGCCTGGGTATCAGTCAGCCCGGCCTGGGTGTCAGCCAAGCCGCCCTAGCCAGCTAGCCGACTAGCTGCCATGCGGCGCTAGCAGTAACATCGTGAGAGATATGGGACTTCTTGATAAAAGGCCTGAACGACAGATATTTGAAGTTTACACCCCTACATTATCGCCTGAAAATAGGGGAGGCTGTCATAAAGTTCAACATCAGTAACTTAGTATATCAGCTGTATAGAAACTCCGTCTGTCAGCACAACGAAAATAAACTACACCTAAACTCGGTTTATATCTGACCCAAATAGAGTGCAGTTAATAACGTCTTACCTGAAATTCAGTTCAACAGCCGCCTGCTTCTCCTGCATTGGGTTTCCCTTATCCACGATTGAGCTCTGCGTTAGCCACCACCGGTCGATCGGTGGCCGCCTCGCATGTTTCTTTCCCCGCATACGAGGGGAAGAGACATATACCGGTGGCTAACGCGGAGCTAGCTAGCCACCGGTATATGAACAACTCAGTTATTTTTTCCACATCGACCAGCATCATCGGCCCATATAAACGAAAAATAAGTCCAGCTAATACAAAGACTGTTTGCGGAGCGATCGGGGGTGAAAGGAGTTAGAGACGCCTCACTGAAAGCCAAGCCTGGGTGCTTTTGAGCGAAGCGGCGCTAGCTAGCCGAGCTAGCTAGCCGGCTAGCCGAACTAGCTAGCCGCGCTAGCAGCAACATCGTGAGAAATCTGTTGCTAATATGGGATGTTTTGACAAAACGAGCAGATATTTGATGTTTACACACCTACATTCTCACCTGAAAACCGGTCGATCGGCGGCCGCCTCGCATGTTTCTTTCCCCACATATGAGGGGAAAGAGACACATACCGGTGGCTAGCTAGCTCCGCGTTAGCCACCACCAAACAACTCAGTTAGTTTTTCCTCATCGACCAGCATCATCGGCCCATATAAACGAAAAATAAGTCCAGCTAAGACAAAGACTGTTTGCGGAGCTATCGGGGATGAAAGGAGTTAGAGACGCCTCACTGAAAGCCAAGCCTGGGTGCTTTTGAGTGAAGCGGCGCTAGCCGGCTAGCTAGCCGCGCTAGCTAGCCAACATCGTGAAAAATCTGTTGCCAATATGGGATGTTTTGACAAAACGAGCAGATATTTGATGTTTACACACCTACATTCTCACCTGAAAATATCTTAAAAGTTTACTTTGTGACCTACAAACACAAATAAGAGGAATATATTAAACCAAGTGGCAGCCGCCATTGTTTGACTGGTAGAGGCGTGCTATGAATTGTGGGATATGCAGTTTTCCACCAAGCATACACCCTTGCCGTTACCGTAACTATTCAATGCTTCGTGCAACCTTAAGAATTCCAATGGTTCCTGAAAGCACCGACGCTGTGCGCGCCGTTGATATTGTCGTCATTATGGTAATCCAAATACGGGGACATACCACTAGAGTGAGCCAACACACCACAAATTAAGTGAGTGAGCAAACACACCACAAAGTAAGTTAAGTTTCACTTTCGTTCGTTCCCATTCATTCAATGGGCAAAACTTGCATTAAAATATTCATATTAAAAAAACTATAGAAGTTATCATAATTTACCAAAGCTTCGCTCTCGGGTTGGCGATTTTCTCAATGGGAAACATTGATATGATTTAACATACACAACGGTTGGAAGTGTAAACACCAAAACTCATTTCCTGATCCAGCCCGCGTAAATAAGAAGAAACATCCACCAATTGAACCTACGTACCGAACGTGCGGAGCTAGCGGTGATCGGGCGTCCTTAAAAGGACAGGCTCTGGGGTATCTTAGAAGAGGTAACTAACAATTGAAGGTATGGATACTAAGTCCGGGGAGTGAGTATACTGTGAATGATCTCCCATAGCAAGGATTACTGATACAGGCAAGGCCTACATAACAACTGTTGAATAACTAATGAAGAGCTCTATAATACATAGCATATATATTACGGTAATAATATTATGTATCACATCGGAGTGTAATTCATAGGTATATGTAATTTGTCAGTGTAGTGGTTTCATTAACAAAGACGGGGCAAGTGTTGTGTATGTACAGTGAAATTTCGGGGGAGAGTACCATGTTTAACAACTTCAACTGTACTTAGCTATCGTGATTTAGGATCATTCAAATTGTCCAAGAGGTATATTACATAGAATGAGAGTTCATATATCAGCGATTCCGGCAGCCGCTCATACCAAATCTTTAGTGATAGCTGAGTCTAACTAGTCGGCTAAAAGCGCCCATTACCATAAACAGTTTTGTCACTTCACAAACGGAACAAAGTAATCAAATGCAACTGATCCCAGTCCCTAGCCTGTTTTTTTAACACAAGCAGTGCGTGTTGGAGCATATGCTAGTAGCATTACCTGACGATACTCTCTCATAGTCGGTATCTATACATATGTTATTTTGTACCATTATACGGGCGAATATCATTGTTACTCACTGCATTCTAAATAATTTGCTGCGCTGTATCGTAAAGGCACACCGTTCACCATAAGTTATGGATTTAAGGAATTATTTAATGTTTAGTCTCTGAATTTAGTCATATTTCATCCATTCATCTAGGTGCAAGTATAGTATGTCCCTTTGCTTAGGTTGAGTATTTAAGGATCATAACAAAGTCCGAGCATCGGGAGAGTGGGCTGTCGTCCGTGCTCTGTGGGGAGTTCCAGGAAAGCAGCTGAGCTATGGTACTTGGGCCTTGGTGGCCGCGACTACGGGCCTGGGACCGCCCTTGTCCACTGGTTTGGCCACGTTAGGGGCCCTGGATATGGGCGGTAGCTCGGTCAGCGGGAGCTCCCCACGCGGAGGGGTACCCACCTGCGCGGTGCTTTCCCCCTCCAGGGGCAAGGGTACCTAGACCCGGTGGTAGAGTACGCTTGGGGAGTGTGATTGTGTGTACAGGTCTCTTTATGTCTGTCTCCACGTTGGGTGAGTGTGGAGTAAGTTGCATATGAGAGCATGAGGGTGGGAATGGATGTTTGTATCTGTGTGTGCCTGTATGTCTGTGTCTATATGTCAGGTGGGTATCAGACGCCACCTCTCTGGGGACATCTCAGGCCCTCCAAGGTATTGGAGGCCTATCTCCCCCACCACCACTTCCCCTGCCAGTGGCAGACGCCCTCAGACATCGGTGCGTTGGTGGGTCTTTGTGTCCGGGGATGGGCATCCAGGTACACACCGGCTCACTCCTTGGTGGCTGCTTATCGGGGCCTGGAGCCTGGGGCTCGCTCGGGCCACTCCAGGGGTGGGGTGCCCTCGGCCTCTCGGCCTGGGGCTCGGTCACTCTGGCACTCTTGGGGGTAACGAGTGCCACTCATGGGATATTTTCTCTTTTTCATTCCAGTTTCTGAAATACTCAGACTAGCTAATCTGGCAACAACAACCATGCAAAATTCAAAGTCACTTTAATCACCTATTCTGATGCATGCTTTGAACTTCAGCTGGTCTTCTTGGCCATCGCTACAAACCTAAATCTGTTGAGTTGCTCATTATTAGATGTTTGTGTTAACAAGCAATTGAACAGGTGTTTATAACAAAGTGGCTGGTAAGTGTAAAAAATCAAATTGTTCTTTT